GGGCATGCAGGAGGCAGCCGATCAATGATTCTCTCTCATCATTGATGTTTCTATCCCTCGCTCCCTTTCCCTTCCTCTCTCTGAAATCAATAAAAACATTTAAAAAAACACATAGTAGGTCCCCACCTGAATGGGAGGGTGGCTTGGTAAGAGCATGTCTAAAACGAGAGAGGCCAGCCCAGTGGTGTCACTGTGTTGTAGGTGGGGTGCCCAGTCCCTTAGGATGCTTTCTGATTGGTGCATGCCTTCCTCCCCTTGGCTGTCCTGGCACCATAGGCTCCATGGCTGCCCCGCCCATCCCATCTGGGCTCTGTTGGTGTCCCTGTGTCTGTCCACCTCACTGAGCAGAAGGTTCTTCGAGAACAGACCTCCATCCTGTACCTGTGTCTCCCAGGGTTTGCTTTGACTGGAGCAGGTCCTCAGTTGCCACGTGGGATTGAATTGATTTGCGCAAGCAAAAATGGGGAAAATGGGCAAGTTCAAGTGTATCTGTTCCATAGAATTCAGTGCAGGCACCAAAACAAAGCTTTGAGATAATTTATTGACTTGGAAGAGCAATCGCACATACTACTACTTAAAAACAACAAGCAGAAAGGTGAGTACCGAAGTCCATCTTTGTTATAATCATAAACATGCGCCAGAGAAAAAACAAATGAAAAGAAAGTATACAAAAAAACGTGCAGTGGTTGCCTATAGGCAGTGGGATTTGTGGGTGATTTTGATGTCTGAGTTTTTCCCCCTTTGCATTTTAAAGCATTTCTAGAAACAATTTTTGTTATTGGAAAAGGATTTTTAAGGAAATACAAATCTTAGAAACAGAGCTATGATAAATGGGAGGTGCTTGGTGAACGGTGAAGTGTTAGAGACATTTAGGATAAATAAGTTTGAGTTTAGGGCCCTCTCAACCTCCTACATCAAGACAGAGTCCCCACCCCATGCTGCCTGTGGACAGTCTCCTGTCTTCCAGCCTCAACGCCATCAGCTCACACACTGGTCGTTTTTCTGATGATGGGCGCAAGGTGGGAGCCAGAGATCCAGAGGAAGAAAAGGAAGCCAGTCTCCTTTGGCCTGTTAGTAATTTCTGCCATAAAGCCATCGGAATCTCCTGCCCCAGCACCTGACTGACAGGGAAGGAAGATTCCAGAAATATTCAGAAAGAAAGGAATGGTCATGGGAATAATGACTCCCTCCCTTCTATGGCTGTTTCCACAAGTACACACATTACCCACATGGTCTGTGTGGAGACCACTGCCTGAACTGTTATTTGTGGATACAAAAATCATCGTTAAGGGAAGTTCCACTGCCAACATCAGTTTCCCAATCCTATTTCCCATTAGATCTCAAGTTCTTCCATCACAAGTTCTATGTTTCTCAGGGTTTCCAGGAGCCCAGACCCTGCAGTGGGGTGGGGGTTGCAGTGGAGGCAGCTGCTGGCTCCTGAATGGCTCCAGCCTCTGAGCCAGGTCAACGGTGGGAAATCACTATCTGCAAGTTCATTGGTGCTGGGGACAGAGGAGAGGGGATGCTCAGTGGCTTTGTTTACAAATGTGAATGTTCACAAATCTGAAACCCTGTTTGGGCCCACGCCCTGCACTGGCACCCTTTGTCTAGTCTTCTGGAATGTTCTCCAGTTCACTCATTCATTTCCAGGGAGAAGTTCATGGAGAAGACTCAAGCCCCAGAGGTGATTTAGTCTAGACCACCTCAACCCTAGGGACTGTCCGTCTTTCCACGCTGTGCCTATGGTCCAGGTTTGGCGGGGACAGCCCAGTTGCCTCCTCTCCACCAGCGGGCCTGCCAGGCCCCTCTTGCAGGGGCCTTAGTCAGAACCCATTAGAAAGCTCCTGCTCCGCGGTGGAGGGGGACATGGAGCTGGTCCTCTCCAGACTCTCGGTGCGGAGGAAGGGGAGCCATTTGGCCAGGGGCACGGCCAGGAGACTGTGGAACAGCTGGCGCAGGTACTTGCGGAACCTCTCACCCACAAAGACATAGATGATGGGGTTGATGCAGCAGTGCGTGTAGGCGATCACCTCCGTCACCTGGATGGCCAGGTCCAGCTGTTTGCTCTGCTTACACTCATCAACCAAAAAGACGCCTTGAAAAGCAGAAATAAGTATAGTCAGGTTGTAGGGGGTCCAAAAGAGAAAGAAGAGGATCATGATGACAAAAATCAGGCGGACGGCTCTGGACTTCTTCTCATTGGGACGTCTGAGCAGAATCTTTATAATTCCTGTGTAGCAGACGATCATGATCACCAGGGGCAGAATCAGCCCCAGGAAGTTCAGTTTCAGAGCCTGGAACTGTTGCCACTGTTTTAGGTGCTGGTGAGGGAAATGAAGGCTGCAGGTGTAATGACTGATCTCTTTCTGGATCTTAGAAAAGTAGAAGCCTGGGACGGCAGCCAGGATGGCCAGGACCCAGGTGATGAGGCTGGTGATGATACCAAAGGTGACAGTCCGGGCCCGCAGAGAGAACACGGCATGGACAATGGCCAGGTACCTGTCGATGGTCAGCAGGATCATGAAAAAGATCTCACTGTACAGGCCTATGTAGTAAAGCCCCGACAGCAACTTACATGTGCCTTCGCTGAACCTCCAGGTATCCTTCAGATTGTAGTCAACCCAGAAGGGCAGCGTGAAGAGGAAGAGCAGGTCAGACACGGCCAGGTTGAGAAGGTAGATGCTGGTCATGCTCTTGAGCCTCTTGTACTGCATGAGGACCAGGACCACCAGGATGTTGCCAACAAGGCCAATGACAAATACTAGGGAGTACAAGGGGGGCAGCAGCTGAGACCCAAAAGCCCTCACCTCTCCTTTTTGGCATGGGGTTGAGTCCCCATAGTCATATTCTGTGGTCACATCATCGAACTTTGGAGTGGTTGACGTTTCCATGCTGGCTTCTCCCCTGGGTCCAGGAAGATGGTTTCTGTATTTACTTTGCTGTCAAAGGCAGCAGGCTATGGACAACAAAGACAAGGCAGTGATTATATGTCCTCAACCACTTGACAACTCCTGTGCACCACGCCCTGGGACCCAACGTTGAGCAAGGGGGACCCAGGTCCTCTCTGCCCTCGTGGAAACTACAGTTTAATGGAGGGGAAAGGGCTAGTAAACAACTGAGTGCACAAGTCATGAATTCAATTACTTTGGCAATGAGCATTGTGAAGGAAGAGTCCGATGGATGGAGAACCCAGACAAAGGGAGACCTCCCCACATTCTTCATCACTAATGCTTCCCTCATGTTTCCTATGCACTTGGCATTGGACTTGGTGTTAAACAAGCCTGGAGGGGTACCATTATTGTTCCCCATTTTAGAAGCGATGTCACAGAATTCCCAAGTGGTTACGGCACATATCTGGTGAGAATGAGAGCTGGAGCTCCAACCCGGTGCCCATCCCTGAAACCACTGCCTCCAATCACAGAGCAATGACCTTGCACTTTGGAGTCCACAGACGGACATGGGAAAGAAAACAGTCCTGGCTGAGAGTCAAAAACTAACCAATGGGTCTTCATGGCTTTTGGGGCTAAAAAGTTTCTCAGCTGGAGTGACATAGGGTGTGGGGAGCATGTGAAGATGTGTAGACGTTTGATCTTTTTTGGTTGTCACAAAGACTAGGGATGCTCCTGTCATTTGTTAGGCAGGGCCAAGGATGTGCTACAGGGCAGAAATTATCCCACCCAAACCCCAGTAGTGCTGCCATAGTGAAATTCTAGGAAGCCAACCCCGTCTCTTCATAGAAGGCATCAGGGACACCAGGGTGAGCTCAGCCTGGCCCACATTACACGGCCCTGATGGGGCATAGGCAGGTCTACAGTAACTGTAGGCCTCCCGTGAGAGCTGTAAGGATTCAGAGGAAAGTTCAGGCTGGGGGGAGTGGGGCAACCTGGCCAGAGAAGAGGAGCTTCTGAGGAGGAAGAGCTCAGAACAGCCTCAAGCCAGGAGGTGTTACACAACAACCAGATGGACGCTGCAGTTCCGCTGAAATAAGCTTTTAAATATTTTTACCCAAGGTTGCCTTGAAACAAGCAAAAACAAACACAAACAAAACGATAGCTTGCTATTACAGGACTCCTCAACTCCGGCATTTTAACCCTCCTTTTCAATTCTTTCTGACCACTTACTGAAGGCACCTCCCCAAAGGGAGCATGGGCTTTGGTGTAACTGACCAGCTGTGTGACCCTGAAGAAGTTAATCTACCTCCCTGAGCCTCAGTTCCTCACCTGTAGTGTGGGAAAGTAACAGTTACCTTGAAGGGCTACTGTAAGGTAAAGTATGAGAAAAGCCACCCTGGCACTTACTAGGACCTTAGTAAGTATTAGGGGACTTCTTTCCCTGAGGCCTGTTGCCACCAGAAGTGTCCCAGGCTGCAATCCTATTCTGGCTGATGTCCTCCTACGCCCAGCCCCCCATCTCTATGTAGTAAATCTAGAAAGTTAATTCTGCTTGACAATGATAAACACAACAGCCCCTCTCATATGAACTGTGCTTTGAAATTTTCAATATGTTGCCGCCAATCTGAATTGCTTCGACTTAAACACTAGTCAATAAAGTAGGTGGCACCTATATTTGTTAGGTCTGATCAAATAATCGAATCGATATCCCCTCCCTGGGAAACTGACCTTTAGATCATTTCGAAACTGACATTTCCTTTCACTTAGACCACATTCCATGTGCTAAGACCAGTAACTTTCCCCTCCGGACTTGCCCAGGATCCGGACCTGCACAGAGAATTCCCTGCCAAAAAAGCCCGCCTAGAGTCCTTTAAGATCTCTGACTCCCCATCCCTAGGTGCTGATGCCATCTGGGGGCTCAGCCCATCTGGTTTATTAGATGAACTAATAAATTTATAATTATTTACCACTTTCGGCCTTGTGCATACCTCCTTCAGTGACCCTAACATTTGGTGCCAGGAGGATTCCCTGGGGAATGGGAGCCATTGCCCCGGCTTTGGTCACCCCAAGTTTGCTCCTCAGAGAGAGGTAGGCAGTGGCAGCTCGTCCTGGGCTTACTTCCAATTCTACTAGAGTGACATGATCATTGGACTCAATTAAGGGCCCTCCTTCCTTATGGTTCCTCCCAAACCAGACAATGAGGACACCAGATCGGGAACCTCTCCTTCTCATTGCTGACCCTCCACCCCACACCGGCTAATCTTCTCTAGGTGAGTGAATATTTTCCTCATCTCGAGTCTTCTGTCCACTTACTCTCACTGGCTTTGCAAAAGTCTCTCTTCTCGAAAGTCCTAGAGCTAGGCCAGAAGACTCCTTGGCCGTACAGCCTCAGGTCCTTCTAAACTGGGGATGCCCCATCTGGAGGGTCACCCTTGTTTCTCCTGGTGATTTGTATAGTGGTAGGGATGTCTGCCCTAAATAGTCACCTTTGGACTTATGGTCTGTCACTCACCCTTCCTCTCTCATGGGCCACACTAATTCTCCTTATCATGGGGAACACTCCCTCCGCATCCCCTAAAATGACCTCTCTTGGCTATCTCCTTAAAAATCTTGACCACCTTAAATTCACGGAGCAGATCAGGCCCAAGCACCTCATTTTCTTTTGTAACACAACCGCCTCATCGTCCCTTTGACAGAGAGCTTTGAAGGAAAAAAATTCAGTGCCAAAAAATCCTTGAGGAGGGAAATGTTAGAGAGCCCCCCAGAGCAAGGACGATGGGACAGGTACAGAAACTCACCAGGGCAGAAAGCTCTGGACAAAACTGGGAAAACAAGAACCTTGCCCCCAGGGTAACCTATCCTCCCCTTCCCTATCACTAGTCAGGCAGTTTGGACCCCTGACCTTTTCCTCCCTAAAAATAACATCTAAGCCTTCAGGCCCAGAAAAGCAGCAAAACCAGACAAGTGACACTGTGGCAGCCTCAGGATCAGCTTTCACCTCCCAAGTCACTCAACAGGTTTCCTCAGCCTTGGGTATCACATATAAACTCCACCCGGCATCCTAATCAAACACTGACTGTAATTAATGATCTGGCATGTGCTAGAGATTTTTTTTTTTCTACATTCCTTCTTAACAGGAGACAGAGTTCTACTCAAAACAGGGACAATCAACTGGACAGGAACCTGTACTCTAGTCTCTCTCTCACCCAACGAGACATAGCCCCTAATAATTAGTCTTACCTGTCCCAATAACCCATCATATCCAACACAAAAGGGCAGTGCAAATGATCGCTCTCCTCATAACCCATGGTATCTCAGCAGGTGCTGGAACTGGCATAGCGGGCTTAACCACTGCTCTATCATATTTTGAACTCCTGTCTCAGGACCTACAAGAAAGCCTAGATGACATTGCCAAAAATTTAGTTCAAATTCAGGATCAGATAGATTCACTAGCAGCTGTCACCTTCCAAAATCGGAGCGGACTACACCTCCTAACCACACCTCTTTCTTGAAGAAGAATGCTGTTTTTACGTCAATTAGTCTGGCCTAGTCAGGGATGCCATCCAAAAACTAACAGAAAGGGCCACAAAGATTAGAGGTCAGTCAACTTCATGGGACTACTGGCTAAAAAATATAAATTGGTATACCTGGCTACTTCCCTTCATAGGACCATTAACATTCCTATTGCTCATCCATGTTTTTGACCCCTGTATTCTGTACTATTTTTCATCTTTCCTTTAGGACCCCCTTTGAGCCTTCGCCAACCAGTCTCTCAGGGAATCATGCTGCGGCAACCCCTCACTCCAACCAAAAGGCATCTGTACAGTGTTCCAGCCGACTGCTATCAAAGTCCATCCCCTTTTGATCTCGATGTCCCCTCTCAGCGGAAAATAACTATGGAGGAAATGACATCTGTCCCTATTCCATAAAACAAAAAGGCTGGAATGTTAGGTCTGATAAAATAATCGAATTGATACTCTTCCCCCGGGAAACTGACCTTTAGATCATTTTGAAACTGACATTCCCTTTCGCTTAGACCACATTCTATTTGCTAAAACCAGTAACTTTCCCCTCCGGACTTGCCCAGGATCTGGACCCACCCAGAGAATTCCATGCTGAAAAAGCCCATCTAGAGTCCTTTAAAATCTCTGACTTCCCATCCCTGAGTCAGGGATGTTATCTGGGGGCTCAGACCATCTGGTTTCCAGATGACCTAATAAATTTACAATTTTTTTTACCACCTTCGGCCTCATGCATTCCTCCTTCGGTGACCCTAACAATATCAGAATCCCCATCTTCAATCTGGAATCTCTAGTGCTCTTCCTTCTACACTGCTCAATGAATGCTTCCTTCTTGCTTAGAAATTTACACTTCTGCAGTGACCATTGGAAATTAATGCAGATGGGGGGTGTTGGGCACCCCAGCTTGGGGGCTGTTATTTCCTGCCAAATCCATTCCTCTGGCTCACTCCTCCACCTTTGGACTTGCCCCTTGATTGAATAATTAGCCCTCTTTCTGGAGAAACCCAGGCCGGCAGTCACTAACAAAGCTGTGTCAACAATTTCTGATTTCTGCTGCCACTGCCAGTGCTGGCAGATCAGCTCAACAGTCAGCATTTCGGGGCCCAGTGGGTTTACAGCGGAAGCAACAAGCGCTTTGGAAGCACAAAGAGCAACTAGTGCAAGACTGACCCCATGAGCCCAGTTTTGGGGGGGAATTTTGGTCAAGGCGAAGGCACGTTGAGCCAGCATTGTCAGATACTATTTAAACAGAGTCATCTCCATACCCCCAACCTCCAACTCCCTGTTTTCCCAACTTGTGGGCACCATGTAGTAACTCCAGGACACACTGCTCCCTGAAAGGGTTAAAGAGAATAAAACGGGGCAGAAGAAACTTATTGTGCTTAGCAGATATCTTGCAAGAAGTTTGCAGCCTTGAGCACCGTATAGCTTAGATAACCAGAGGACACCTGGCAATGGGAGACTGAAGGACCGGACCCTTATGCCAACAGAAACTGCCTGCAGCCAGCAATAGCTGACAAAAGCCTTCCTTCAGTCAAGGCTGACTCCTTTTTTCGGATTCAGCCCACCTGCACCCAGACGCCTGAAATAAAAGTTCTTTTGATACATGATGGCTTCATGTCATAGGTGCTCGACCCCGGCCCACTCCAAACCTTTCACTCCCAAAGGGAGATGGGCTGGGGTGGGGCCTTGGAGGAGAAACCAAGGACCCTGTTGCCATCCAACCTACAGCCATGTCTTAGCTGTAAAAGTCTGCCCCAAGCTCATTACACAGTGGTCATTTCTGGCCCTGGAGCCAGGAACCTTTCAATGCCATTATCCTCCTACCTGGGAATTGATGAGTCTCTGAGCAGAGAAAGGGCAGTCTGCGAGGGTAAAGACACCAGGCCTGGTGGTGTGCAGCTGGCTTATCCTGGCTCACAAGAACCAACTGCTTGCATGTCCTCCCAACTCCACATTCAGCATTTAGTAGCTTGAAATCAACCGTAGTGGGAATATTTACACGTGGAAATTGGCAAGACTAGAAATCAAGGCTCTTTTCAGGAGAACCCATTATGAAATATTTAGCAGCACATCACCCCTCCCCCCACCTCCGCCCCCCAGTCTCAATAGCCAAGAGTTGTCCTGCTAGTCAGAGTGGGGACTAAAAAGTCAATGAGTGGCACACAGCCTGGTGGCAGGTTTTGCAAACTTCTGGGAACTTCTAACTCTGGAAATCTGAGACCCTCCAGATACGGAGGAACAGTTGAAGTAGATACCTCCAAGCAGCCTCCATGCCCCTCTATCTTCGGAACAAACTTCTGCTGCCTCTTTGTTAGTAAAACAGAATAGATGCATCCCAAGAAGTCATCTGGCCAACTCCCTGCCTTCAGGTGGGTGAAATTCTACCTCCTTCAAGCTCAGCCCACTGTCTGACTTTGAGGATCCCTGGTTCTAGTCTTCTTAAGAAGTTCGTTCACTACCAGAGCGTCCTTGCACCTACAGAGGCTTTTCTAATTCCTACCTCCCTCTTGCTACAATGACTTCATACAACATGTATGGCTTTCATTTACACGGGGGAAACTTGGCAAGTAATTTCTTCTTGAATAGCCTTCCACAGAAAGTGCCCCTTGTCCCTTAATACTGGGCTGACTTTTTAAATCAGTAGCCAACAACCTATCATTCAAGGAAGCTTCCCTTATTTAGCAAAAATGAAAACCTATTTTATGTATGAGTACCCAGTCTTATAAATCCACCCACTCTCGGTATGGCTACACAATTCACTGCCTTACAAATGCATCAACAGGCTACTCAGACATCTGCCTGGTCCTCGAAGAATCCCTCCCCCGCTCCTCTTTGTGGAGATAGATAAAGCAATGATCCCCTGCAACGTGAGCAGGACCACAGTCCTGCCCAGCTGCCTGCATGTATTCAAATCAGATTGCCCTACACAGAAACTGACAAGATAGAAAAGATAGGTGCCACTTACTCTGGCATCAAGGGATTTTGTCCACGAAGTCTTTGTTTCTAGAGCTTTTCAGAGTCTCTGTTTGCAAGGTTCAAGGTCCTGATAGAGTAGGAAGTCCTTAGCTTCCTATGTAATGATGGAGATAGGATTCTGGGGTGCTCAGGTGTTCAGAATAAGAAAGGGAAAATATTCTTCTTTTTGTAAAGTTGGGTGTCCATGAATGGCCACAATGCCCACCGGTGGCCAGTTCCTGGAGCTGAGTTCACTAAAAGGATTTTTTTTTTTGGTCACTTGACTGCACTTCTCCCTGGAGAGCTCTGTCTTAAAGGGATTGGGTAGGGTGGAGTGGGGTGGAGTTGAGTTGGGCGAAGGAGGGGCAATGAGGTGTTCCCAGAACTTGTGGAGCAATTGAGGCCTGAAAATGGAGGGATAGGCAGATGCAGGGCGTGGAGTTCCTGTGGTCAGTGAGTAGCCTCTTTTTTTAAAAAAATAAAGACTGTAAGTGGGAGGATTTAAACCGGAACACTGAGTCCTTTGTTCCTCAAAATGACCTGGCTACTAGAGAGGCAGCAGCTTCTCTTTGGTGTCCCCTACATTCTGCACTTCTGACTGCTCACTGTCCCTCTCTTCTCCCCAGTTTGCGCCCTCCCCCACCACCACCCTCAAAATCCCCCAGAGTTGATTTTACCTAGAGGAGCCTCCAGCCTGAAGTGAATACGGGTCTATAGGATAGAGTTTGGCCACCTCTTCTGAGTCCGGGCTCCTGTTTCTTGCAATGGTCCAACACAGGCCAAGTTCAAATCCCAGCTCTCCGCTTGAGACATGGGCAGATCACTAGCCTTTCTAAGTCTTGGTTCTCCCGCCATCAAATGAGAATATTGAATGCTGAGGCTCATAGGAGGATGCACGAGGTCTTCTTGTGTGAAAAATGCCAGGGGCACAAGGGAAAATGTCTGATAAGTGATGCTTATCACGATTCTCTCCACAGCTACCAATACCTGCTCTGTGCTGGAGTCTATCTCAGTTTCCATCTGCTTTTCTGTCCCCATTAGCCTTTCTCACAGTCCGCCCCAAAGTGCCATGCAGAAACATAAACCTGAACGTGCTTTGAAAATGCTCAGTTTTTCAAGGCTCAGTTTCCTCATCTGTAAAAATGAAGACTTTATTTTTCTTCCTATTTACTTTATTTCAAATTAATTTAAATTGGCTAATTAAAGTTTGTTTTTTTTTTTAAACTTTACTTGTCCTAGGTTATGGACAGTAAATGACATTAATTAAATTTTTGCAATTAGTTTTTGAGTAACTTTACATAAACTTTGTCGGGGAGGCAAAAACACAAACTGTTTAGCTTTCTATATGAGGCCTAATGTATTTAATTACAGTTTTCCAGGTGTTTGAAGGAAACCTCTATTTATTTCCTTCCAGAGTAATTTCCAGGCCACACTTAAAGAATTTCAATTAAAAAGAATCTTTGTTTTTCTTTTATACCAAGTAACAGATATGGTTGCTTTTTGAATGTTCTAAAAATGAAGATTTTAGATGAGGTGCCCCAGTGTCCCCTTCCTGGGAACATCCCATGAGACTGCTGGGTTGGGTTTCCCCTCTTTGACAGCCTGTCCACAGATAGATGGTGAAAGAGAGAGGTAAAAAGGTAACAGAGCCCTAACCGGTTTGGCTCAGTGGATAGAGCGTCGGCCTGCAGACTGAAGAGTACCAGGTTTGATTCCGGTCAAGGGCACGTACCTTGGTTGCGGGCATATCCCCAGTAGGGGGTGTGCAGGAGGCAGCTGATCAATGTTTTTCTCTCATCGATGTTTCTAACTCTCTATTCCCTCTCCCTTCCTCTCTGTTAAAAATCAATAAAATATTTCTTTTTTTTTAAAAAAAAGGCAACAGATTGACAATGATGGCTATCGGCCTGGAACTTGCCACCTTTGTGCAGAAAATAGGGTGTATGTGGAGGGGTGCATGTTAGTGATGGGCCTCTGAAATCAGACAGTCCTTTATTTACATCCTAGGCCAGTGATGGCGAACCTATGACACGCGTGTCAGAGGTGACACGCAAACTCATTTTTTTGGTTGATTTTTCTTTGTTAAATGGCATTTAAATATATAAAATAAATATCAAAAATATAAATCTTTGTTTTACTATGGTTGCAAATATCAAAAAATTTCTATATGTGACACAGCACCAGAGTTAAGTTAGGGTTTTTCAAAATGCTGACAAGCCGAGCTCAAAAGGTTCGCCATCACTGTCCTAGGCCTACCTTTTACTGACTGTGGGCATGCTAATTAAGCTCCTAAGTGTCTCATTCCTCTTCTGTGAAGCAAAGTTAACATGGATCGACTGGAATGCTCAGACACTGCTGGTGGAAGTCTGAATTGGTACAACCACTTGGAAAGCTGTCTAGTGGTAGGTCAAGTGATACCTATGCCTTTACCTACCCAGACACTTCACCAATGTGCGAGAGGCTGGCCCTGCTGGCTACAAAGATCCTTCCAATAACTTCCTGAGAGAAAGATTAGTGGAAGGAGCTGTTGGCTTGAGCCCAACCTTCCTGTCCCAGGGAGGCCCCAAGACCCTGCCCCCAGGAGCTGGGACAGGATGGGTCTAATTAAAGGAAGCTGTGCACTCGTCCCTGCTGCTCTGGCAATTACTTCCTCTCACACACTCAAGGCTGGGGTTGACCTGAGCTCTCCTGCAAGAAACTTCTGGCCCTTTCATAACTTCTGAAGGTTGTTTGTTTGTTTTTCACATGCTGCTATGTTCTA